GGAGATTTGTATTTCGGTCAGAAAAGAACGAGAGGAGAAGAATGGATAAATTGGTCTACATAATCAGTCCGTGAGTGTTAGTGAGGGTGATGAGTGCGTGTTTGCATTGCTGGTGTCAGATGCTTGGCTCGTGTGTGCACCAGGATGTCCCCTGTGAACGGATGCACCAGACAACCGCAAATGGTCTGAGACTAGGTGTAGGCTGGAACCGTCGACAGACAGGAGGTTCTCCTTGAAGAGGGCGAACTGACAATCTGAAAAAGAGGAAGATGCAGACACCATGAACCAGGTAATCCAGTGAGACATGAACGCGACTCAGTCAAACGGAATGGCAAGTTGCCAAGGTCGTTACACTAGTGCGTTGAACATGCGTGATTTCGTGTTGTCCTTTTTATGTTACGAGGAGGATTCCGGCAACTGTGATCATGAGACTTCGAGTGGTGGACCGCATAAAAGTTCACTAGATCAGGCGTGGCAGGGAGCCGGGCCACAACAGCCGTTTGTCACCTTAAACGAAAGACATCGTCTAAAATTGAGTTCATTTTTGCTGGCAACAAATTATCGATCCTCTGCGTGCGATTCAGGTTGATCAGTTTGGTTCCCCATAGAATCTGCAGCGCAAACTGTGACCAGTGAATACGTCTTTTGGGTTAGCGGCTCAGGCTTCTAGTTATGCGCGTTCTGGAAAACGTGCTTTCGAATGTTCACACCCGTTCCATTACATTCGGTTTATGAAGTTTAATCTTTACATTGAAGACTAAATTCTGATTTGGTGGAACACTTGGACCACAAATCAAATAAATCATGTGCATTGTGTAACTTTTTCAAGTATCACAATTTACATTTCAGTTGACAATATTACTCACCACACTGGATACATTTCAGGAATAAAGTTTCACACAAGTCGTAGAAACAACTATTGGTCCAAGGTTAAGGCGTAGTTCACTTGTTACTGTGTATTTGTGAATTCACGTAGATAAACAACCAGAGAACATTAAAGTCAGATGAGGAAGAGACACTGGTATGCAAGAGTAGAAGTAAGTGATTGGTTAATGTGAAAATGTCTGAGTTTTCGAATTCGAAATGATATTCGCCGCAGGTTACGAACGGAGTTGTGCATGTGAGTTGAGCAGAGAAGATCGTTATCTATAGGAACACCAGGAGATTGGAAAGAGCTCAGCCCAGCTAGAGAATCGTGACTTGCCCCTGTAGGTTCTGTAGAGAAACTTACATGTGAAATTATTTTCCAGGGGTTAAACTTATCCCGGATTGAGAGGAGAAAAGCTGTATGTAAAAGATTATTTCTGAAGAAACTTAATTTAGAGGAAGAAGATATGGGTTTATGCAGTACAACCCAGCATATCTCAAGACGCACGGATGAATGTGCGAAGTGAGCGCAGCTCTCTACTGCACTCCGAGGTGGTTGATTAAGGATTAAGATAAATTCTTTTCGAGTCAAATGGTCGTTCTGTACATTAACAGTAAAATAACAATTACTTTAGGTGTTCAAATGATTCCAATTATTTGTAACGGAGTTGTTCGAAGAATGGGGTCGAAAGGTGAGGAATAGTGAAGGACAACACACCGAAAAGATTCAAGGGAGCTGATGCAAAAGTTGGTTGTATTATGAATTAGGGTCCAAATTGGATCTGTTAGACTTGTAGCCAAACTGTTTTCGATCATTGAGGATGTAGATAGACTACTGAGGGCAAAAGATGTCAAAGCGAACCGATGAAAATCTGTGGAAAAGATAGAATTTAAATACTTTGGGGATCGGTGAGTGAATGTGATCAATCTTTAAAAGTGGAATGGTGGAAGTGCGAGGTAATTCCTTTACTACCTTGGTGATCGTCCCATCTCGGGAAGTAGTTCCATATTTGAGAAATGCAGGAGGTAAACCCTACGGGGCTGCAGTAGAGGAGAAATTTCAATCAGTAAATAGTTTCTAAGGTGAATTCGTCGTGTATATAACAAATGAATCGTGAACTGAAAAGTTAGGATGCATTGGGCGGCTGTTTCGACCTGGTTGGGTCTCATCGGCAGTGCGGATCCATCGACAAGCTCGCAAAGATGAGTTGTGCTATATCGTGTAAATGGAAAATTGAAAAACGGTCTGATCAGCTCCCCGTTGGCCGAGTGGGTAGCACGCTTGCGTTCTGCCTGTGAGGTTGCGAGTTGGGTCAATGGATTCGCACTGCTGATGAGAGCCAACTAGGTCGAAACAGCTGTCCAGTGCTTCCTAGCTTTTCAGTTCACGCTTCATTTGCTATATACACGACGAGTTCACCTTTTAAATTGAACCAAATCCTCCATTACTCATTTGGCATTCAATAGTTATTGCACATCAGGATTTGAGAACAGGGTCACACTGGGAAGTTTGAGTGTCAATTCGGCAAGATGCTTGATCGACGAGTGGCGAACGAATTTGACATGGAAAGTAACAACATCGATATCCAGCTCCGACTGTTCTTTCCTCTTTCCAAAGAGGAAATTGATGTTTGCTGTTTCCAGTCCTCTGGGTTCGACTGGAGAATGGAGAATCCAATAGATTTATTTAATCTTTGATTGACTTTATTTGACTGTTCGTGCCCCCAGGCCGTGAAAGCTATGGCCTTGATCGAGTGAGCTTTAGACAAGAGTAAACGAACCATATGCTAATTAATCCCGGTCGACCGCATATGGAAAGTAAATCTCGTCACGATGTATCGATAAATCGGCCACCATGTTCAGGTGTGAATGTTGGAATGAATCATTGCATGAGTAGGAACATCCAGCCCTCAATAGCCTGATGAGTGATCAACACATAAATATACATATAGTTCAAAGACAGTGTACCTACCTCAGCTTATCTCATTTGGTCCAAAAGGAAGCGCTGTTATTCCATGGAAACTCTGTGACAGTGGAATTTGCACATTAGGCTATTGAGGGCCAAATGTCCTTACTCATATAATGATTCATTCTAACATTCACACCTGAACATGATGGCCGATTTATCGATAAATCTTGACTAGATTTGCTTCCCTTTCCGGCCGATTGAGGTCATTCGGGTTCATTCATTCTTGTCTACAGCCCACTCGACCAACGGTCAAGGACATACCATTCACGGGTGGGGGCACGAACAGTCAAATGCCACCCCACTGCAACTTTCATCCTTCCTCGGTAACTCACTCAAAAAGTACTTTTATTTGTCTATGGAGAAATCAGTTCATTCCGGCTGGACAGAGTTTTGATAGACCCGATCCTATGGGTGACGTGTGACGGTGGAAGTGCCAATCACGTTGGGGGGATGCTACTAGAATGTGATTGGTTGGATTCACCTGAAGTTACTGTGGGTTCAATTGAAGTTGGCAAGACATCGAATGCGAAGCAGCGCTCCGTAGGCATGGTCAGCATTTATTGATTAATAAAAAGAGGTGGGTTGTTTTAGTACGGGATTTTTCTATATATGCATAATACAAATTTCGAAGTAGATTTCCCTTTGTTCCTGGCTCAGTTACCAAGCTTAGAATTGGGGGATTCTATATTGGCTTTGGTTTCATTAGTTTTTACTTAATTTAACTCACTACTAATGAGTAACAATATTTACAAACGAGAAATATCATGCGACCAGTTCATGAGAGCAAGAAGAACCACCTTATCACAGGATGTGTTGAATTCAACTATTTCGTGGTAATCTCATCAGCTGTGTACATACATTCAGATCACGTTTGGTTCAAAGAGTGACAGGTTTGGGGACAGGCGAACACACACGGAGAAGGGCAATCAATCAATATGAAGGTCAAAGGTTACTAAGATGAGCCGGNACCGACCAGCGGGGGCAGAGCGAGGCCAGCCACAAATTCGATCTGTTTGCACAAATCGAGCTTGTAACGTCGAATAGCAGCCGCTTCAGTGAACCGTAATAGACGGCTACCTTTCTGGAGGATCAGGACACGAAAGGCGTCCCTAGGTATGTCACATTCTTTGCAATCCAGTATGTGTCGGGCGATTAGACTGGACGGAAGCTCGGACCCGTTAGACGCCAAATTTTTCGGTGCATGCTCTGCTATCCTGATAGACAATCATCTCTCAGTTTTTCCGACACTAATTTAAAACTCAAATGGTCATTTATATGGAAATCTCTACAATCTCAAGAGCGCTTCATGTGCAATGCGAAACCGTGTGTATCGGTTACGTTCAATAGTTGTTTATCCATATCTACAAGACCCGAGAACAGCAGGTTTTCAATTATTCCAACACGGTATCTCCGTTTCTACCTGCCGCAAATAAGTCATCGAAAACTACAGATCTCTTATATTGTTTGATTGGTAGCCTGAAACCAGCAGTGATAAGACTTATATTTCAGATTGGGCGTTTCAGAATATGACTATTTTTAGTTTCCCATATACTGCTAACTCCGATGTGCTCACATTTGCGGGCGGTGTTTTCGGTTTTCTCTGTGTCAAATCCGACTGTACAAATGCGCAAATGTTTGGTTGTATTATCTAGGAACTTGGTGCTTCTTTCGCTATGCGCATGGTATCGCAATTCCAGTTCGTGCAATGGGAAACAATGCAGCCACGTGCTCCGGGTTTTTGTTATTGTCTTCAGATAGTCTTGCTGACTAGCATATTAATAATCAATGAATGCCATATAAAATGAAGGAAAGACCACAATAGTGGGGATTCAGTGTTTCCGGCATCACTAGACATGACCAGAGGACTCCAACTAGAAAACTCGACACGATATACCTGATCAAGTCCAGTACCAAACGATCGCAAATGTTCATATCGCATCCTCATGTGTTGTGTAGCGCGAACCTTGTCCCATCCACCTAGTACACATATGAAAACACCGTTTCCGAATACAGACCTGTCACATTCAGAACTATTGTCATCGTTAATAGATTTACTGGAACCGATTTCGATCATAAGTGGAATGCGTACGAATATCATGATAATCGGGGATCGCCTCTATTTTGGGGTATTGTTCAGCTTGTTAACTTTTGTTTTGCACTTCGAAAGAATTGATCATTATTCTGGATCGGTTTTGGAACTCTATCGAGGTGTACGAGGTCATTACCGAAGAAGACTATGGGGAGCAAAAAATGAGAAATATTGCCGTGTATTAGAAACTCTGGATCCAGCAGTTCGGGGTCAAGCTTTGTTTATATAATCATCACGAACTATGTATCGTCCAATTAATATCACAGCGAAGCTAACTACGGTATACAATTAATCATATGTCCTGTCAGCGATCGATGTGACATTCTTGGTGTCCACGGACATTATCTGTGGCACGTGAGTTAAACCCTTCAACTATGTGCGAATTTGATTAAATCGCACAAGGCTAGATGTTTATTGGCTAGTTTCAGGCCAACCAATGACCGTTTCATCAGAATGCACATTATTACAAATTGTGAAACAATTCCATGATGATAGCACATTAGCATGTGGCTTTTCTCATGGCATATTTTATGGTGGATTAATTTGTTTTCCGTCACAAACGTCATTTCACTTTACGCACGATCCGGGAATTCAGACGAACCTGTACCGCCGTGCTACGAATGTATGCTTTACGGTGAAGCCGGTACTGTCACATCTGGCGATGCTGCAACAAGGGTAAGCAGATGCTGTAAGCTTTACAAAAACTGTGTTCAACATTTTACTAGATTACGTGATCACCACTGATCAATGTTTCTCGAAGAAACCAACGGTAGTCCATTGTACAACCTGAACAATAAGCCGACGGATCGTTCTCGACCATTGTCGTAGATATCCCGATGGATGCACAGCATGAAGACTGACCCCTGAGTTTTCTCCGTGTTCTTTGTAGCATACGAGAACTATAGCTACGTGGATACCAAAGTGACAGACCCATCAGACTTGTGTTCATTCTCGTGATAGCGTGTAATGTTGCTTTAATAAGCAATGTATAGTGATTAGTGATGTCGACCTTTTCTCCCTACTAAACAACTCTCGCTAAGCAGTTACTAACACTGACAACATCATCCCATTGTGTGAGTCAATCAGCACTTTCAACTACCTTCGTGTCCTTCTGATAGTACATGACGGGAGAGGCGAACAACTGAGAAAGCGTTCTACATAAAGGACTATGCCTTTCGTAATTCGATCACAGAATTTACGATTGCATGCAATCAAACGATCCTCAATCGTGAGTAGAGGATGTAGGCTGTGCTCGTTTATAAAACATGAAGCTAACTATACTTGTTGTTAGAGAAAATATTTTTCAAATTTATTTTCTTCATTTTCGCCTCACTCCGGTTACCATGTGTGTGTGACTGGGTAAAAAGCCCGCCTACTGTCCATCACGATGTTTCTGTCCACCGGATAGTCGAGCGGATCAAAAACCCCATTGCCCAACCGGTGTGTCGGTTACAAGGGATGGATGTGATTGTTGCTGGATGTGTACACGCCAGTCAGGCGAGAGCTGTTCTTCCCGTTATCCGTGCGATTTCGCAAACGGTTTGGAATGTCTGTACCAGCGTGCCGGGAATGGGACTGCGAACCAGACTGGTCGCAATCCAAGGGGTGATGAACCCACCCAGTTGCGTGCACGACTCACTTCAGTTCCATCCAGTCCTGAAGAGTCTGGAATCTGTTGGAGTAAGTTTTCAACATATCTGTCATTTATTTGTCGCATGTAAACTCTTTTGTGCTTGCAAATACTACCAACAAGGCCTAATTCAATAACAAGTCGGTGGGTATAGACATTTTTGAATATTATAGTCATGCTCTCACATATCATTACATTGTGGAAAAATGCTTGCTTAATGACAGCCAGTGGCTGAAGTTAAGGTCATTAATCGGAGGCAGAGGGTATGGGATATATATATATCTATATATTTATATGATGTGTGTGCGTGTGTGTGCGGAAGAACTTTTACTGCGTTAATTGATATGAAGTTTCTTCACTTGAGTCCACGGACATGTTATGTTTTGCCTTGGTTTTCTCAATAGGCCAAGGCAATCGAAGCTCTTGCACCAGCCTTCAGAGTCCATATGTTTTTACAGCAAACAAATTGGATGAAGAAGCACGCTTCATTCGTCCAACACTGCAAGACAATGGTTTTCCGGAAAAGATTACTGACAAGAATATTATGCTCATTCCGGAAAAAGAAAGCCCCGTTTGTGTCCCCTAGAAAGAACTATTTATAAGGATTTCGGTTAAGGGGGACTCACACAGAGAGTCTGGTACAGTCTATGTGACTGTGACTGTGACTGTGACTTCCCTCTTCCCCGCAGCGAAACTTGAATCGGTGTTCTGTTCATCACCAGTGATGCTAATGCAAGTGAAGGAAATATGAACGAAACTGACCTCATCCAGGTTAATCTTTTCCTCCAAGTGCATCTGTGACGCCTTGCACATAGGTCGTACGGTTAGGCGTTTGTTTCAACGTGTTGAAAAACACCACTCGGTTTTACCCCTGATGGTGGAAGACCGGTTCTATCCCAAGCGCAGTCGTGGGTTGTCTCATGGATACGGGTCGCAAGATCGAATCGGAGGAAGCATTCGATGTTGTTTATTGTATCCCAGTCAATCGTTCGAGCGTGGACCGAGTTTGAACACTGGCCATGGCCCTGGCGATCGCTATTCACTTGCTATGCCCAAACTAGTGGGACCACAATAGATTGATTCAAGCGCTTCAATTGTCTGGGCCTAGTGTGAAAAACAAGACAAAACATGTTATAACTCTTGACTCAATCGGAGAATGGTCACATCAACTAGCGCACTAACGTTCGTGCGCACACACGCACACACATCCTATGCACTCTGTCTCCGATTAATGATCTTCAGTTGGGTTGATGGCCGTCGCTATGCAAGCATTTTCCCACTACGTGTTGATCTGTGAGAGAATGACTATAAACATTCGAAACCAATTATTCACTCACTGACTCCTTTTCTCAATGATATCATAAGAATAATCAAACGTTCAATTAAAAGTCATTGAAACTGTTCCGCAAAATCACGAATTGATACCTCGAAGAAGAAGAATACTACAATAAAACACTGCTCACTTCCAACGATTTCGCTTAAGCACCACAACCCAAATAACTAGTGGAATCAGAAGAGGGCGGCAATAGCGTTTTCAGTCCAAACCGGATGTAGCAGCAATTAGTTCACATACTCAAGTTATGTTGTCACTCATTGGGGAAACCTGTTCCCACGTTGCTGATACCAACACACACCCACACACCATGAACTTCACCCTCTCGCTTCTACCGGACCCTCTTGGTAGGTCCGTAAACAAGAATCCGAGTGGATGAAACACTACGTACCGGTCACAATAAAGTATCAGAACTCCACACTTTCATATCCCACTATGTGTGAAAAACAGTTTGTGAATTCACCAGGTCTCTCTTGTGGTCCACTGATCAACCCCAGTGTAACTCAACTGACTCCTGAATGTCATCAATTCCGGTCCAAACGTGGACTCAGAAACGCAAATCATTTTGTGTTTGTGCAAGTGTATTCGTTTTGCAGATTCACCGTGGGAGGATCCACCGGAAAATCTTGGAAGTATCTGTTTCACCCAATTTGCTAGCGATAATCATCAGTGCATATTCACAGAACCAAGTGGGATTCGAACCTGGGCAAAAGAGGTTATCAACCCATAGGCTAACCACATGAGTTATGCAGGCTGTCTCTCAGTAACTGGACAATTAAGGTCACTGTCGTTGAAGGTATTGAATCTCACCAGATGATAGCATGTCCATATTGAGGTCTTTAGTTTACTGTTTTACCCTGTTATTTCCCCCTGTGTTGGAAGGAAAAAAATTTATCATTGAGAATAAGTTTTGTTCGGCACATCCGTTTTTCTCTCTCTCTCTCTCTCCCGAAGTAACAGAAAATAATGAGGAAATCACAGTTTATTGTTCGATTTCCACGGGTACTTTTGGTAGTTCGCCTTATTCATGACTATAGGGCGTGGTTTCGAGGTTACTCTTTCGCCATAAGATCGTTTCACGGCGAATTGCACACTGGGACACAGGAAAGTATTGGTCTTTAACTAATTTGTTTATTTCTCCTGTGAATCAGATTTTAGTCTTCTGTTTTTGAAACATTTTATTAAGGAATGAAGCATTATGCACGGACACATCAAAATTTACCTGACGGAAGACAAGAATCATTTGACAATGACCGTTTCGTAGAACTGGAATCCAGTAGTGATCCAGAATCAAAGTCTCTTACATGATAAACGATAGATAGGGCGTGGGGAGGGGGGGGTTGATTAAGTGAGCAACAGTGTTAGTTAAGTGTTACAAATCACCACCAATCATCACCCCATAAGTACCGTCCAATTTCCACAACTCATTAGTTCCCACAAAAAAAAAATAAGAACATACATTTAATTTGTCTTGCATTTTTTTGTTAAATAAAAAATAACTGTCGCAGGTTATGAAAAAATAAGTGTAACATCTATGTTGAGCATCATTTTTCCAATCATTGTATGCGCAGGAAATGCCAAATGATGCGCAAAAAGTCAATTACTAGATTCCGCAAAAAGCATTGAAGCGGCAGTTTCCAACTACAATTAGAACGGTTGATTGCTTATATACATTCTGGCTTTTAAACCTGCGATTTCTCACTGAGCTCACGCACAATCATCGGGTTTCCAGTGTGTTATAAATTCCACGGTAGCAATTACTTCGTGTAAATTCCTTCACTTCTGCTCATTCTTGTCTTCATTCTCCGTTCATTCTCCCCATCACTCGGGCAATGTATCAGAACGCCACGGTAGACCGTGTCGGATCAACGGCACATGGTTATTACATGGTTCAATCCAAACCAACGAATGTCGACATCAGTGCTCCTGTATAGACGGACAATTGGTCTGTGTAGACCGATGCGTAGCACAAGAGCGGAAACAACGTCCACCGGACGTGTTTTGTGACCCACTGGAACGGGACGGACCACCGATGCAATTACGATTGATGCCTCCTGCACCTGGTGATTGTTGTCGGCGCTGGATGTGTGTGACCGTAGCTGACACCCCGGATCGTGATACACGTTTCTTGTCCGATTCGGATGAATCTGTTCAAGAATCAACTCGAATTGGGCACGATACCCGGGGCCAGGAGTACAGCGGTGGACGAGCCACATTGACTGCCGGAGTGGATCTATCTGAAGGTACATACTGAGTGAAAAATGTGATTGAGACCACAGACGGTTGTGGCATGAAAAAGAATAATTGTGACTAAATACTATAAGTTTAACTCGCACTAGCGTAATAATTCATTTTCATGAGATATCATTCGTGGAATAAGGCGATTGCGGCTTCGACCTCGATGTCTTGAAAGGATAAGTGATACGTGTACCCATTCAGAGAATGTTAACGTGGCAGTTTTACTTCATTCAGCGGAAAATTTAGTTGTTCCAGGAGAATACTTCATACAGTACCTTTGAGTGCATAGTTCCCTCTGACAGTCGGCCATTTTGGACGGGCACTGACCGAGTTTTTTATTACACACCCAAGTGTGATGAACAGCAGATGTAGCGAACCCCATTGTCACGAGAACCTGCTGTTCAGTGGTGGAAACCGGCAACCTAAACCCCGGGACTTGGAGTGGCGAACCACATAAGGCCCCGATAGGTTAGGCGTGGTACTGAACCGGACGACAGCAGAGCCACCTATCACCGAAGTCGGGTGGCGGTGGCGGGACTCGAACCTCGGATCATAGGGGGAGGAAATTCATATACACATGCATAGGACACTTCTTCTCTGGAAATTGCATAGCTCTGTAAAAGAGAGTGATCACTGTATATGCGTCGATCGAAACGTTTGTGTGGTCCCGAGTTCGGGGATCATGCTTCCAGGAGATTTTATTTGGAATTTTGAGTCACTGAATAATATTTTATCCACTGCTTCAACATCTAAATTCTCTGATAACCCAGAGTTTTTTTTGAGGACTAAGATAAAACCTTACAAGAAAAAGAAACGGATGTTGGGACAATAACTAACTGTTGATAATGGTCACTTCCGGGGAACTGGCTGGTTGGATGCCAACGAGACCGACATTTTGTCTTCTCATTACCCATTTTACCCATGAGGCAGTGGTGGCGATTGACGAGTAATTTTAGGTTCGTTATCTACGGGGATTTTGCGGCTTTTCATGTAAAAGATAACAGAGGTCACCGGCAATTCGTCACGCAAATCTTGGGAACTTCCAGATTTTGAATAGAAAACAAACGTTACATGTACTGATGATCAGAAATTAGAAAAGAAAAGCCGGTCAGAACTTCCAAAGGAAGCAGTAAAATAGTAGAATTATAAGTGCAATTCATCGAGCGTCCGTTGTAATTCATTTCATTCGGATTACGAATTAAATCGATTAACCGTGGCCATTATTCCTCGCCTATTTCATCACCAAACTCTCCGAATGACTCGGTACACTTACTTCGACGTGTGTTCATCGCGTGGCACTGGTCGAAAGATCGTCCCGATAGTGTATGAATTCGATCCCCGCAGCCATATTCTAATAAGAATGAAAGTATACTTTCAAAGTTACTAACTCTCAACCTTCGATCGATCAAAACTTCCCTGTAAAACTCCAATTGAACATACAACTTATTTGAAGTCAATGCAAGTACAAGGATTATTTAAATACAATGAAAATGCTTGTAAAAACCGAAAACCGGATTGCTGTTCCATCCTGTTTGGGACTCGTCAGAAGTGCGTACTTTTTGTGTCCCTGTCACGATTCGAACAGCAAACATCCGGGTTGGGATTTCAAACATTTACCACTGAGCTACACGATCGACGGCCATCAACTTGTGCGATTGGCTCCATCAAATTTTGGAGCATCTTGATGAACCCGAACGTTCACAGCTCGAGGGACATAAAGCATACGCACTGCTGACGAGTTCTAAACAAGACGAAACAGCTGTCCAGTGCTCTTTGACGGTTATCATAAACATTTCCGTCGCATTGAAATGCACTCAACTAGTGGGAAATTAACGTTCTCCCGAGGAGTGAAACCCACACCCAAGACCATCACGAGTGCCTGGTGCTTCTGAACTATCGAATGCACAAATCCAAGCTTGATGCTCTAAAAATACAAGGATTATTATTACAAGTGATTCGCATAGGACCTAATGTGATGGTCTAAATTTTGTATTGCTCAAAGCTAATGAAATGTGGACTGAATAACAGTTCAATTGGACCGCCACAATATGGGACCACAGAGCCTGGCGGCCTAGATTTCACGTACTCCCTTCTCTTTGTTTGAGACAAAATTAATCAGGTAATTGTTCCTGTTTTTCACTTAGATGTTCTAATATTAGTTGCTTTATAAATCTAAATTTTCTAGTGCTAACTATGGCCTATTGCATCTTTTATGTATTGATTGTAATATTCAATACTTAGGTTCTAGTCTCGGCTGGGACACAGAAGTTACGCACTGAGAACTAGTCACAGCATGGACGAAACAGCGATCGGGTGCTGTTTAGCGTTCGTACCAGAGAATTCTACTATCAGAAAATTTAAATTAATAGGAATAGAATCGTTCGACTATTAAGGGTTCTTGCCTTCTCCCTCTATTTATTGGTTTATACTGTCTTGTTCCATTACAATACTAACTCATTTAGCAGAATAAAGACCTGAAATTTGGCGCGGGCAATTTCAGCCAATAGATGAATCTATAGATGTTGTTAGACATAGGTTTCCATATGAAGCTTGCCCAACGGACACTGTGAGATCGTGATCGCTGCATACTGTCCGATAGTGTTTTCCACTCCACATTCTCTTTTATCTTTCTTCCATCCATACCACCAATCATAATATGAAGAATTGAATCGGGAATATTCCTTCCAAACATTGGCAAATATTTATCACTCGACACTAGCGAGCACTTCCATTTTTGGTTGTTGTGAAAATGTTTTGTTTGTATTGTAATCAGCGCCGCTTGTAAAGGTTGACTAAAACGAAATTCAATTTGTGAAAGTTATGTTGTTTAACGGGTAATAAAAGACCATTGTAGTTGATAATTTAATATTTCTTTTTGATCCAATGCATAGGCATCAAAATCTGTTCTTTTTCATGATTTATTAAAAACAAAGTTTTGATAGAAATATAGGTGTGCAATGAAACTTCACAACCCTCTTTTGAACTTTCTATTATTTCGCTTATCATCCATTTCATGAACACGCTCTGTTTTCCAGACCACTGCGACTGGGGCTCGCGGCGCAGTTCTCCATGGACCCCTTGTAGTCAGTCCTGTGGACTTGGTTTGTCCACACGATGGACGACGGAAACAATTGACTGTCGCAATGTGACCCAAACACGGTTGTGCTTCTGGCGTCCGTGTCGTACGTTTTTCACACAAAAGGTAGGCTCCAATTACGTGAACAAATCGATGCACAAGTGGAACGGAAGCGGACTGGGGGCGTTCCAAATCACGTGTTTCGTCCTGATGTATCCTAATCGATTTTCCTGTTATATTCGTCCTTGAATAACAGGTTGACTGTCTGATCTGTTTAGTACAGAACATAAATTTGTAATTTTATGTGATTAGATTGTAAGTCAAAAAAGAACACATCGTTTAATCTCCTCAATCGCTGACGCGGCATAAACAGACACATCTAACGGGTTGATAAATCCTAGTGACCAAATGTGCGCAGATCGATAGGGGAAAATAAAATAAAACGAGAGTTCAACTCGACGGTAAGTGAACTGAGTGCATCAAAACATTTTGGGCACATACACCGGAATGATGTAGTCTGATTAGTAATGCCTCACTAATTGTCAATGCTGTTGTGTTGCAGTTACACAATGGGAATTTGAACGAATAATTGGATGAATTATACGTTTTGTTGTCATGACTTGCTTTGCAGTAGATCGTTCTGGGCTCCGGGTGGTCGCCTGACTATCGAGAATGGGTTGCGTCATCAATTTCGTCAATCACTTTGGAAAGTTTTCGGTCATTCGCTATGATAATTGACGGTTGGTTTTGCCTACGTGTGTGACACCGCAACTGCAGGGGACCTGGTACCCATTATGTGAAACAGAACTATATTGCCAACGATGTTTAAGTGCTTACGTTTTGAGCTTAGTTAATTAAGCTTTTCTGGTGGTCGAGTGTGTAGCATGCTCGCGTTTTCCCTGTTAGATGACTACAGTGAGTAAACCATTCATGTGAACAAACTTATCAGGTGGTTGGTGATTAGCCTGCTAAAGTCACCGTCACTAGCCTGCTCTGAACCTTAGGATTCGCAGTTCCAGCCAGAGCACTGCTAACCAGTTTTGTTAAACGTATTCATCGATTACTGTTTACTTGATGTAATCCCGATTCACAACTTTCAGGGATGCGAGAATCAATAGGTTAAGTGAAAGGATCTCCAAGTTAATCGCAAATTCTGACGCATACCGAGCATACAAAACGGATCAATTTTATGAGCCCGATACAGACTGTTGTCATTGCTTGTTAACTGCTGGAGTTGTAATTATCTTGGGTACTTATTGAACACAAGTAGTCATTAGATTTTTATTACACCACCAGACAAATTTGGCATACCTTTTATAATATGAGAACACACGCGTTCAGAGGCGAACAACTGTTTTCATTGATTCATTTTCTGGCTTGTGTTTCTATTAACTTACAGTATGAAACATAGTTTTACAATCATAGTCAATTATCAAAGTGCATTTTTGACTTCTTTTGTGATCGATTCCTTTAACCGAAAATGTATACGTGTGTCTGCATTATAGTTAGGTCATATTTTTTCCCAGTATTGGTTTTAATGCCCTGTAATTAACAAATACTATCGATTGAGACTGTTGTAAATCCACAGGACAGTTTCCGGATGAGTAAAGTTGTTCATACGAAAATCACCGTGAATCAGGAGCAAATGGGATTACACGAGACAAAATATCGATATGCAACAGTTGATCAGTTGTCTTATGAAATTAGTGTCAGAGTATGCCAATAGCTTGTGACGATCCTCCTTCCATGCATGCATGAGATCAGAAAGGGAGTGGGTATCATTAATCAACCCGAAATGATTACCTTGGTTTTGATAGGACACAGCTAAGATTTAATCTTCAATCAAAATGAAACCCCAGTTGATACAGCTGAGCACACATTTGAGAACCCGTTGACCACCACCAGGTTATTTGCAACTAACTGAGTTTGATTTTCAAGCG